CTAGCTGAATGACTGGTACAACATTACCATACCTAGCTGAATGACTGGTACAACATTACCATACCTAGCTGAATGACTGGTACAGCTTTACCATATCTAAGACCCAGCCAAGCGAAATCAAGTCCATTCCATCTACGTGCGGTTCCGAATTTTCCAATATTAAAAAACACTCTAAATTCGGGCTTTAAGAATAGATAAACAAGTTTTTGAAGTTGAGCATGTTTTTGCTATACATAACGATTATCCACGGCCTTTCAAAAGGTGAAAATTCAAAAACTAATTTTTTTGTGATTGAAGATCCAGTCACTGACTGAGGCCCAGTCACTTGTAATCCATCAGTCACTAACAATCCATTCCAGTCACATCCAAGTAATATCAAATTTATCTCAATAGCATCTTGATTGAGGAAAATTAGTCGTAAGAATCTAAAGATCCACATAGTCACCTATAGACACATGGTATATACAGTCCTTTGAAAAACCTTTGCCGTAGACCGGCTTTACATGCAGGACTTAGACCACTGCCGCGATCAAAAAAAAAATTTTTTTTKGGATTTTTTGTGCAAAATTTCGTAAGGAATCACTAGTTATAAATAATGAAATAAAATTCATAGGCTAAAGGCTGCAAATTCGGAGTGAAAAAGCATATACGATCCGTAAAATCCAGCCAACCGACGTCCAATCCATTCCACGACGTGCGGTTCCAAATTTTCCAAAATAAAAAAACACTCAAAATTCGGACCTTCAGAAGAGAAAAGCAAGTTTTAGAAGTTGGGCATGTTTTTGCTATGCATTACGATTATYCATGGCCTTTCAAAAGGTGAAAATTCAAAAACTAATTTTTTTGTGATTGAAGATCCCGTCACTGACTGAGGCCCAGTCACTTGTAATCCATCTCAGTCACTAACAATCCATTCCAGTCACATCCAAGTAATATCAAATTTATCTCAATAGCATCAGGATAGCTATCATTCGCTGTCCCAAACTTCATTAAAGATCTTTACTAATTTTGTCTGTAGAATGGAAAATATTATTCATCGTGGATATATTAATAAATGATAATTATTTATTTTTCTCACGATTCTGGATCATTAATAGAACACCTACCGGTCCTTCTACGATTGACCCATATTCGTGACACAAATGAATAGGTATTATTTATTTTAGTTTTTTTTTCTGTTTTTTAAATTAGATTTAAATCAAGTGAAAATCTCTAGTAAATTCTTAAGACACCGTGAATGATTTGAACCTCATTGATGGCAATTGCTGTAGAGGTGACAGAACTAAGAAAACCAATCTTTCGGGTAGTATATTTTACAAAAAAATTATCATTTTGACAGTTCAGTTACAGTTTTGTCAGTAACCTCTCAATAGCCAGACAAAATGCTTCCTTTTTTTCAGATAGTATGATGGTTAATTAGTGAGAGTTTTTTCTCAAGTGTAGTAAATTCATTAAGCATAACATTTGGACAGCATTTAAGTTTTTTTTGTCATTTGTTTTTGGCGTTTTTCGAATACGTGTTATTAATTGTAGTCGGCATACATTTTGTAATCCATTTATAATGCAAGGATTTATTAAACGTGTTTAATATCACCATCATCATTATACCGCCATCATCAATGTCATAATCTTCATCAACATCATCATCTTCATCATAATCACCACCATCATCATCATTATCATCATCACCACTATCATCATCGTCATTAGTCATCAACATTATACACCATCACTATTATCACCAGCATCACCATCTTCATCATCATCATCAAAATCACCGCCATCTTCATCCTCTTCATCATCATCATCATCACCATCTTCATCATCATCATCAACATCACTACCATCTTCATCCTCTTTATCATTATCATCATCATCATCATCACCATCTTCATCATCATCACCACCACCACCACCATCATTATCATTATCATCATCATCATCATCACCACTATCATCATCACCATCATCATCATTAGTCACCATCATCATCACCATCATCATCATCACCATTATACACCATCACTATTATCACCAGCATCACCATCTTCATCATCATCATCAAAATCACCGCCATCTTCATCCTCATCATCACCATCATCATCACCATCATCATTAGTCACCATCATCATCACCATCATCATTAGTCACCATCATCATCACCATCATCATTAGTCACCATCATCATCACCACCCTCATCACCACCCTCATCCCCATCATCATCACTAACTTATAGGATGTATCAGTATGACGTGACTGACACTAATGTTTTCTGAATGCCTGATATCGTCGATGTTGTTGTCCTAACCAAATGAACTTTAGACCCGGCATGATACTTTAATATCTTATTTATATTTCAACCAATAGCAACATTGTATAGAATCAGTGTTGGACTACTATCGCACGCCCACTACTGTTGAAGTGTGATCATAGCTAATGCTAAAATAGAAAAATCTYGAATATTCTGTCGCTTGCAGGATCCTCAACTTTATCATGAATCCAGATATGCCATTATTTTCTTACGTCCAATAAAAACTAAACTACTAGAAAAATCTTACAGTGACAAAAGTTAAGCAACGAAGCTAGGATAATCTTGTTGACTTTTTTCAATCTTTTTTAAAATCCTTAATAGCGAAGAAGAAAAAATCGTAGTTTATTACTGTAGTTGTTTTGAATAAATCTACCAGGATTTCGTGTGGGCAGTGGAAATAATTCCAGAGGTGAGCCTATTTTGAGATCACATTACTCTTTTATACATGCATTACTGGCATTAATGTTGATTATTTTGAAATGAGAATTAAATAGGAAAAAAAAAAAAAAAGAATTAATCCTAGCTGATGCGAGTATATATATATATAGGTTTACAGAGAGATCTACATTAGAAGACCATTAGTCTCACTTAAGCAGTCGCTTCCTTCAACAGGAAATCAAGCCAGTGTGCTTTTAAAGCTCCTTTTTCTCACAATTGGATATCTTTTTGGCGCAAAAATTCCCCTTAAGCATTGAGTACTTAATCTTTATTCATTTCAAGAAAAGAACTTATCGTTGAACATCAGTTGAAGCCATTGTATTGGAACGAAAGGTATGGTATTTATTCTAACAAAAATAACAAATTTTTTATACGACATAACTTAAAACAACAGTTTTTTTAAGGTCTTATTTTTAAGTATTTCTTATCATTTATTTGCCCAAAAGTTACGAATTTCCCATACGACGTATCTTAAGACAACTGACTTTTAGGTTATATTTTTTTAGCATTTCCCATACTTTAGAAGTATTTATTTTGTTATATTTGTTTAGTTGTTCTCAGAAGTATTCTTAGTGATATTCAGTTGAATATGTCACAATATTTGATGTATTTGCTGTGTATCGCGAATTTCTTTGAGGAAACTTTGCGTGGACAGAACTGACCTAATCCTAACACTCGTTCAGTATAAAATGAGTGTGATGCCGGGATAAACTGTGGTGTTGAGTACAGTATTGTATGGAATGATTGAGACAATACTTTATATGTGATACTGTATAATAGTTTTCGTTTTAGGACCATTCGACGACCTGCACTAGCGCGATTATTGACCTTTTTTTATTGATCTTCTTGGAAAAAAGCGTCGGGTTTACTTTGATGAATAGGATGAATAGCTGTAGGAAAAAAGGAAAGAAGGAAGAAAGAAAGAATAAACTGACGAACAAAAGAAAGGAAGCAGAGGAAAAAAAAAAAAAAAAAGGAAAGGAATAAAGGATAGAAGAAAGAAAGAATGAAAAAATAAAGACGTGAACATGTACAGTGTGTCGGTACTGTATCATTAGTCGTCACCGTGTTAGCTTACAAGATATTACAGACGATTAACGGATTAAGGAGCTACAGCAAACGCCACATACACGAACAACCATTGAGATTTCGTGAGCAACCTTAGATTCGAATTTGACCTTGATTTTAATCATATTACTGAATCGAAAACTCTAGACCTGACGGAATAGTAATAATGATCAAAACGAAAAGAGATCTCGAAGGCTTTTTTTTTTCGTTTTGCCACAGTGTATCAAAGATAAACAAATTTTAATTACGCTTGAAGAAGATTTATGTTCCCTAAGGTTGCAATTAGGCACTCTTATTCCTAAAATGCTAGTTGTTATTTGTATTTGATTATTGATTATAATTGAAACTTAAATATTTCTTAATAGTTTCACTTTGAACTTTCCATGTTGAAAATTGATTTTTTTTTTCATGTTGAAGATCCCCCCCACCCACCCTCCCCCCCCACTCAAATCAGTGATTTTTTTCCTGTGTGGTTCAGGGCGGCGAAAGCCGCTTTTCTATTACGTGCAAAAGTGGTTTGGCGCCACCAYTGCTGATACGAATTAAAAAATGCCTTTTTGCGGATACATTTGTCATTGATCCTAGACAAGAGCTCAGTGGGCCAATATATGATGACTAGTTTTCATAGCCGCTATCTTGGTCGAATCTAACTGAACAAAAGACTTCTTATATTCTCTTGTTATATCATCCAACATGGCCGCCGTGTCTTTATTTCATTCTCATGGGATTGATTGAGAGCCAGCAATTTTTTGAGACTCGTAGTAAATTCTTTTTTCGATTCTTTACCATACTCAGTACTCGACTTCCACTTAGCGGATGGCAACAGTAGAATTCTAATTRAAAACATATTTCCTATACATTGCGAGGAGCAACCTCGGTTAGTTTTGATCGATAATGGAGGATAGAATGTTCTGCAGTATCGAACTAAGTGTTGCGCATGTGGTTGTGTAAGTCGTTTTTTTTATCAGATAAAAGATATGAAATTCTTCAAATTTTATCGGAAACCTGAAACAACCTCTGGACTGATTAAAGTCAGGGCACAGCTAACTCACAACCTCTAGCTGGACTGATCTAGGTCAGGGCATGGCTAACTCACAGACTAAACCCTGAAACAATCTCTGGGCTGATCTAAGTCAGGGCAAGGCTAACTCACAGATTGAACCCTGAAACAACCTCTGGGCTGATCTAAGTCAGGGCAAGGCTAACTCACAGATCGAACCCTGAAACAACCTCTGAGCTGATCTAAGTCAGGGCACGGCTAACTCACAGATTGAACCCTGAATCAACCTCTGTGCTGATCTTAGTCAGGGTACGGCTAACTCACAGATCGAATTGGAATACAGTTAGGTTTTGCAGAGAGAGGAAAATATAAGAAAAACCCTCGATTCAAGGGAGAGAAATAACAAACTTTATTGACATGTGAGTCCATGAATCAAACCAGAGACCCCAGAGGCGAGACTAGGCGAGTGTACTACCACTACATTAATCTCTTGATATATTTAATTGCTATGGGGTGTAAAGTGACTTGAGCGGAAAACCGTCTCGCGTCGTCTCGTCACCTTGGAAAACCCATTTCCAACGGTCACTTGAATCATGTAACTGAATACAGTCAGGAACTCACGAGAAAATGACTTCATTATGACTAAAATAACGTCATTTAGCGAGACAAGTTGTTTCCTAGAATTACATTGAGTCACGTTATAATGTAGAGGCTTAGCTGGGAGACGGGCGCGCGCTTTTTGGCGGGAAAGTTCCTGCCAAAATTCACAGGAACTCCATCAATCATTAGCTATGAAGAGAGCCATTTAGTCGCAAAGGGTTTTTTTGTTATACCGACATGAACAATATCGAATTTTTCAAACATTTCTACTTTTCTTGTCATAAATAATACACAAACCCTAAATGAAATTCTTAGGGTGTCCTTGTCCTCTTGGACGTTGTGTCGTCTGACGTCACGTGACCTGTATATACATATATAGTAGTTACAATAGGACGATATCGGCTTTATATAGTTTTCAGTTAATCGAAAAGGAATGAGGAAACAAAGCTTGACATACACTTTTATGACATCTGGTATCATGTGACTTGTATACGATGATATCGGCTTTTTTTTTCATATAATCTAAAAGGAATAAAGRAAAGAAACCTCTAAAAAGGATGCTAATTCGCACGACCAGTCTATCATTTATGACTTAACCCTTATCAACCCATTCAAACAGGTGTACGATTTAGAAATAAAGAGGCCGGTACGACGTCAGCGGAAGTGACAATGCGATACTTTGACATGATTTAAGGCTTCTCTGCGGGGAAAGAAAGAACATTCTCTAAACCTGATTGAGTTCAATTCGATTCAACAAGCACTCCACTATACTCGGAGAGTATAGACTTCCTAATCATAGGATTGAGCTGTATAGGACTTCAGTTTTTTATATAGAGTGCGGCTTCAAAAACTTCTACGACACTTCATTGACTGCAGGTAGCCGACTATAGATGATTCGGCTTTGAATGCCGGGATGGCTTGCTTATTCAAAGTGTTTGTCAGTACACCGTCTAATACCGCTGCTTCTACATTCTGTACGTTCATTTTCATTTACTAGTAGTTTAAAAAAAATATTGCTATTGTCGATGTTGTTATTGTTGCTACTGCTGCTGCTGTTGTTGTTGCTCAGGATTGTCGTTGTTGATGCTGTTGTTGTTGTTGCTCTTGTTGTTGCTG